ATGTTCTGTTTTCAGGATCTGAAACACAGTGGAGACTCTGTATTAACGGTTGTGCCAAATATTGAAGACAGACATGCCTGTGCGTTGTTGCCCTCCCAGATGGAGCAGCGTTCACCTTTGCATTTTTTAAGCAACCGATCCCCTGAGGTCCAGCCTGGACCTTCCTCTGCGCCCTCCTGCCCCGTGTCTCTCCCTGTCTAGGGTGGGTGCCAGTGGACCCACAGTCCATGTGCAGCAACATGTCGATTTTGAACTTAGCCTAACACACGATCCCCCGTGCATCGTCTCATCATTTGGTTTTGAAATTCGGTGGCATGTCTCCAGGCCATCCATGTTGACATGTGTAGACACGTGTAGACGAGCACAATCGTGGTTTCCCACATCGCCTCAGCCACGTGGGAAGGCTCCCGTGTAGCCGGCGGCTGGCACGGCCCCTCCTGTGTGCTGGCGTTGACGCGTCCCGCTCCCCCATGGGTCGGGCTGCCTTGGGCTGTGCTCGTGAGCTCCGCCTTCAGGCTGCATTGGGGTGCTTGTGCTTCCCCTTTGCCCTTGTGCTTCCGGGGTGCTTTCTCTCTCTTTCTTCATCCCCACCCTCCCCTCTGGAATGTCTCTTCCTGTTCTGGATGCTGACCCTCCGTCCATGTGTGTTGTGAGCAGGTTCTGTTCCGCCTGCTGAATGGTTCACGTGCTTCCTTTTGCTTGCAGTTTTTAGGGCTTGTCCTCTTTTCTTGTTGGAACTGCTTTATTGAGATATAACTCTTGGACCACAGTTCACCCATTTAAAATGTACAAGTCAGCACAATGCAGTGTATGCCCGGAGTTGTGCAGCCATCATCGTAGTCAACTGGAGGACATTTTTGTCACCCCCTAAAAGAAACCCTGTACCCTTTAGCTGTCATCCCCCCTCCACACCCCCAACTAATCCACTTCCTGTCTCTGTAGGTTCGAGTATCCTGGACATCTTATGTAAACAGATGCATACCGTGTGTGGCTTTTTGTGTCTGCCTTCTTTCCCTCAGCACACAGCCAGACCCCGGCGACACTGCGGGCTCGGCTCCAGGCCCCCACAACAAAGTGAATGTCACCATAAAGCGAGTCACACAAATTGTTTGGTTTCCGAGTGCAGATAAAAGTTAGGTTTATGCTACGCTGTAGTCTAAGTGGGTGATAGCATTATGGCTAAAGAAAAGTGCATACCCTAATTAAAAATACCATATTGCTAAAAAATGCTAACCAGCACCTGAGCCTTCAGCAAGTCATCTTCTCTTTGCTGGTGGAGCGTCTGGTGAAAAACGCAATAAAGCAAAGCGCGGTAAAGCGAGGAGCAATAAAGGAAGTGCTTTATTGCAAAATAAAGCAAAAATATGAGTGAGCCTGTGTTTTCAAGGTTCGTCCGTATTGGGGTGTGTGTCGGTGGCACGTCCTTTCAGCGTCCCGTTGTGCATTTATCCATTCATCAACTGATGGACGTCTGGGTTGGCCCACCTTTGGGCTGTGGTGCACGGGGCTGCTGGAACACGCGTGTGCGAGTCTTGGTGTGCAGGTGTAGGGTTCTCTCGGATATACATACCTAGGAGTGAAATCGCTGGGACACATGGCGACACCATGTTTAACGCTTTGAGGAGCCACAAGACCATTTCCCAAAGCAGCTGCCCCATTTTGCGTTCCCACTGGCAGCGTAGGAGGGTTCCGATCTCTCACACCCTCGCCAGCACTTGTGTCTTGCTGATTGTAGACAGCGTGTCCTAGGGGGCACGAAGTGTCTCCTGGTGGTTTTGACTTACATTTCCCTGAAGACTGTCATGTTGAGCAGCTTTTCATCTGCTTATTGGCTGTTTCTGCATCTTCTTTGTAGAAATGTTTGTTTAGATCCTGTGCCCCTTCTTTAACTGGATTGTCACTTTATTGTCCAATTGTAAGAGTTCTTTATATATTCTAGATTCAAGTCCCTTATCCAATACTTGTTGTGCATTTTTTCCCCATTCTCTGAGTTGTTTTTTCTTTTTTTTAATTATATGTACTCAGCACCTGAAAAACTGAGAATTGACCTGAGTCTTTTTTAACCTTTTTTTTGCTGAGGAAGACTGGACCTGAGCTAACATCTGTGCCAGTCTTCCTCTATTTTGTATGTGGGCTGCTGCAACAGCATGGCTTGTTGAGTGGTGTGTAAGTCTGTGCCCAGGATCTGAACCCACCAACACTGGGCCACCGAAGCAGAGTGTGCAAACTTAACTACTGTACCACCAGGCTGACCCCTTTTTTCAGTTTTTGATAGTCTTCCATGATGCCAAAAAGTTTTTGTTTGTTTGAAAAGTTCATTTTATCTATTTTTTCATTTGTTGCCCGTACTTTTGCTGTCATATCCAAGAAATCATTGCCAGATGCAAGGTCATGAAGATTTGCTTTTGTTTTTTCCTGAGAGTTTCTAGTTTCGGCCTTTACGTCTAGGTCTTTGATCCATTTTGAGTTAATTTTTGAACATAGTGATGCAGCAGTCAAACTCCATTTTTTACGTCTGGAAATCCAGTTGTCTCAGCACCAAGGGTGAAGAGACTATTCTTTCCCCGTCCAGCCGCCCTGGCCCCCTTGTTGAAATTTAGTACTGGATTCTGATTCTAGCCCTTGACCTGTCCTTGTGTCTTTATGCCAGTCCCACCCTGTCTTGATTACTGCTGCTTTGCAGTCGGTTTTGAAATGGGACGTGTGAGTCCCTCAGCTTTGTTCCTTCTCAAGCTTGTTTTGGCTCTCCATGGACCCTTGCAACTCCTTATGGATTTTAGGGTCAGCTTGTCAGTTTCTGCAGAGACGCCAGCTGGGGTTCTGCTGGGCTCGTGTTGACTCTGTAGATCGGTGTGGGGAGTATGGCCGTCTTACTACTGTCTTCTCATCCGTGTACATAGGACGTCTTCCACTCATTTAGGTCTTAGTTTCTTTCGAAAATGTTTTGTAGTTTTCAAGTATAAGTTTTGCACGTCTTCTGTTAAATTTGTTCTGAAGCATTTTATTCTTTTTGATGCTATTATAACTGGAATGCTTCTCTGAATTTTATTTTCAGCTTGTTCATTGCAAGTGTATAAAAATGCAATTAATTCCTGTGTACTGATCTTGTATCCTGCAGTCCTCTGAACTCATTTATTCGTTCTAATAGTGTTTTAGCGTATTCGTTAGGATTTTGTGTGTACATGATCATGTCACCTGCGGCTAGAAATAGTTTCGCTTCTTCCTTCCTGGTGTGGATCTGTTATTTCCTCGTCCCGCCCGACTGCTCTGGGAAGAACCTGCAGCGTGGTGTGGTGTTGATGTCCGAGAGTGGAGATTCTTGATCCTGGCCTTGGGAAAAGCATCCAGTCCTTCACCGCTAAGCATGCTGTGAGCCTGGGTTTTCACAGATACCCTTTATCGGGTTGGGGACATTCCTTTCCATTCCTGGTTTGTTGAGCGTTTTTATCAAGAAAAGATGTTAGCTTGGTCGGATGCTTTTCCTGTGTCTGTTGAGAGGCCCGTGTGGTTTGGTTCTTTATTCTATGGATGAGGTGCATTAGCCGAGTTGGTTTTTCCAATGTTAAACCAACCTTGCGTTCTGGAGCAAATCCCACTTGGCCATCGTGTGTGGTCCTTTTTCTGCGTGGCTGGATTTCACTGGCTGGTATTCTGTGGATGGTTTTTGTGTCCGTATCCAGAAGAGATACTGGCTGGCAGTTTTCCTGTGATTCCTGTGTCTGGTTTTGGTATTAGGGTAACACTGGTCCAAGAGGAAGATCGGAAGTGTCCCCTTCTCTTCTGTTAGAGATCGCCTTTTTAAAGTATGTTTTTAAATTTTGTTTTATAAGTATGTAAAAACGTACATGGTTCCAAGGTCGAAACTCACAAACCAGATCTATTCCCCTAAGTCCAGAGTCTACCCCTGTCTGTTCAACTCTGCTCTCTTCCTCCCCCATAAGTAACAGTTTTCATAACTTTGGCTTATCCTTTATTTTTTAATATGAGCAAATACCTACAAATATATGTCTGTCTATGTACACACATATTTAATTTCTTCCCTTTCTTGGATGAGAAGTAGCACCCTGTTCTATGCTTGGGTGTGTTCTCTCTGAACATTATGGGTGGCGATCACTCCCCATTGGCGAGGTGGTCCTCGCTTTGCATGTTCGTGTGGGAGCATGAAAGTGACCCCACGAGCTGAAACCTGTGTAGCTTTTCTACTTCTTTGGCGGCTTTCTCCGGGCATGGTTGCTGGGTGAGAAGCAGTGGGTGTCTGCTGTGGACAGTTTGGTGAGCTCCTGTGGGCCTGTCAAGCCGTCAGCACAATCAGCATGGTGAGCGTCTCCACTGGCCCCTAAACTCTGCTCGATTCTCATCCCTCCCGCCCCCAGCCCCAGGCTCCCTGTGGTCACTATTGATTAGAGTAAACTAAATCATACTGCAGATACTTTCATTCGTTTTATGGTGGTAAAATTCACATAAAGTTCCACCAACATTTTAACCATTTTAAGATGTACAATTCAGGGGCCTTTATTTCATAGACAGTGTTGCACAACCATTACCACTGTCTGGTTCCAGAACATTCACTTCCCCCTACAAGGGAATCCCGGGCTCTGTAGCAGTCACTCCCCATTCTCCACCCCCAGCCCCTGGCAACCATGAGTCCCCTTTCTGTCTGTGGATTGGCCTGTTGTGTTTCAAAAAGATCTGGGCAAAAGTTTTGATACAAATGAAAATAAAACCAAACCCACCTTCCCTAAGCGTCATTTTTTAAGAACAGCCAGAGAAGTGTGATGGTTTGGTGCCTAAGCTTCCTTTCCTACTGAAATTCTCATCCAGCCTGGCACCAACCTGAAGGAAATCACCTCACTCCTCATGCTCATTGCTCTTCCCTCTTGGGACCTGTGACCTTCCTCCCAGGACCGTGGGGTTAGGGGCTAATAATGGAAGTGAAGTCACTTAGAAAACACAGAAAAGCAACTTTAGGAGATATGTCACTTCAGGTAATCTAATCCCATCCATCAAACAAAATCTGCAAGTGTTTGGTGGTGAGGATGTGGTCTATTTTCCAGAAATCACAGACAGCTTATATTGCTTCCTGTGAAAACTTTTTCACCTCCTGTACAAGCTCCCATCCAACCCAAGTACGTTTCTTAAGTAGTCTCAACAGAAAAACTAACCTGAGAACGATTTAACGGGACTTTCGATTCTAAAAGATCCAGCGTCAAACGCTTTATGATCAACTTCCTTTGGCACCGCAGAGCCCACGGCCTCAGCACGCTCTCCCGGCTGCATCCTCTCTCTCACTGCCTTCTTCACAGCAGCAAGGTGACCCCCATCTGCGATCCCAGCATCGTCCTGTTTTGGTTCACTCGCTATACCCAAGACAACTTTTTCCTACAAAGAGAAATTATGACATTTACTAAAGCAACTCATTACCATCTTATAAGAAAAATGAATAAAGCATGCCTAAAATATTTCACACATCCATCTTATGCTTATCAAGTTCCTAGTATGTGCTAAACATGCTGGGGGTCAAAGGTAAAGGACAAAGTTCCTGCCCTCAAGGAGTTAGTTGTAGTGGTCGTTTAATGTAAACAAAGATAGGACCCTTCAACATGTCTAAAAACTGATGGAAAAGAGAGAACAAGGCTAAGTGATGGGATGAGAGGTCAATGAATAAGAGATCTGGGGGAATGGTTCCAAAGTACAGATAAAAGATTAGTTTGATTTTAACTGTTCAGTAGTCTTAACGGTGGCCTATAAAATAATGTAGGAGAGAAACACTGGTGGTAAGGGGCAGAATTACAAGGCTCCGATATAATGCTGTCTTGACACAGCCGTTATCTGCGTCACTGATGGTGTTATGTCCCCAGGACTAAGCACCCGATAAGAAATGGGCATGGCAGGTCCAAATGTCCCAGCATCCTTCCTGTTTAACAGACTTGAAATTCATTCAATCAATCTCGTCACTGTCCTCAGGGCCTTTGTCATTAGTAAGACATTACTAACGTCTTACTAAGACATTACTTCATTAGTAAAATAAGGAGACTTCATTAGTAAAACAATCCTACAATAATCCTTTAATACTCTAACATCTTAAACTCCTAAGACAGAATTCAAAACAGAGTTTTTATTTGGATTACACAGCATAATAAAGTACCAGTTTAGAAACCTGATTTTACAACCAGAGGCATTTTTCTAAAATCTAAAAGAAAAAGTGGCAGGGCTCCAAGCTGGCTTGAGAAGTAGCAATTCTGAACCAAAAGCTTGGAGTTAAAATATTTTAGGAAAAAAATTACTACAAATAGATAAGAATGGAATCTATCATGTCAACAAAGCCAATTTTACAGAGAAAATAGGAAATTTTACATGATAAAATTTGGGAAGAAGAGAGAGAGTCTAAGAGTCATTGTTCCTCTTTTCTACTTAAAAAGTTCTTTCATTTTGAAATACATCACGCACAAGAGTATAGAAAGCAGAGATGGCATAACCTGTGGGTTAAGAACATGGGTTCTGGAGTGAGAAACCCAGCTCCACCCTGGGCACGTGCTCGAGTCTTCCTGGCCTCAGATTCTCCACCCTGGGATAATGGCACCCACCTCACAGGACTGTTGTGAGGATTAACTGAGTCAATGTGTGTGAGGGCCTGGGAAGCATAGTTGGCACATTATATAAATTATGTACTACTGCTATTACAAAACAATGTATAGGTACAGTTTAAAGAATAAAAGACACTGGTACATACCATTACTTAGCAACTCAGAAGCTCTCAGGGGGACCAAATCCAATCTCAGCTCCACCTCCCCCCCCAGAAATAACCATCCTGAATTTTGTGTTGACCTTTCCTCACTCTTTCAAGACAATCAGGACATTGTAATAGATGACACGTTTTGTGAAATGATGAAAAACCTGAAGCTAAATGTTTCTAAAGCTTAAATTCATTAAAGTAAAAGTCTATATTAGAAATCCACAAATTTACCTGAAACACATCTTTGCTCGTATTGCTGGCTTTCTCCCATCCACACTCCTCACGTATGGTCAGATTGTTGAATTTCTGTCGCAGATCCTATATCTGTTAATAAATAAAGCACAAGTTTATCAGATTAATGCTAACCATATTAAATTTACAAACTAATGCACAAAAGCTTCAAACAAATTGACAACGACTTGGACTGGTGACATAAAATTAGACTGTCATTGTCAATTTTGTATTCAAATCAATTCTTATGGTAAAATTGTTCATTGTTATTTTATGTTAAAAATCTACATAAAGGGTGTCATATGTGAATAACTCTCCCAAACTATTTTGATGACTAAAATGGTAGGAGAGATATCCTAAATTATACAGTGTGAACACAATCTCTCCCGTTTTTTTTTTTTTTTCCTTTTTTTTTTTTTACAGTTTATTTATTCCTTTTCCTACTGAGGAGCATATCCATTGCTTCCAAGTCTTGGCAATTATGAACAATGCTGCTATAAGCATCTGTGCACATGTTTGTGTGGACACAGGTTTTCAGCTCATTTGGGCAAACACCAAGGAGTGTGACGGCAGCATCATATGGTAAGACTCTGTTTAGTTTTGTAAGAAACTGCCAAACTGTCTTCCAAAGTGGCTGCACCATTTTGCACCCCCACCAGTGATGAATGAGCGCTCCTGTTGCTCCACATCCTCACCAGCTGGTGCTGTCAGAGGTTTGGATCTTTGCCATTCTAATAAGTGTGTACTGGTGTCTCATTGTACTTTTAACTGGCAGTTCTCTAAGGGCATATGATGTTGAGCATCTTATCTTTTCATACACTTACTTGCCATCCATCTGTCTTCTTTGATCAAGTGTCTGTCTGTTCAGTTCTTTTGCCCATTTTTAAAATCAGGTTGCTTGTTTTATCATTGTTGAGTTTTAAGAGTTCTTTGTATATTTTAGAAAACAGTCCTTTATCAGATAGGTCTTTTGCAAAAGTTTCCCCTAGTCTGTAGCTTGCCTTCTCTTTCTCTTGACATAATCTCATTTTATTTTCATTTTTATTTTTTTGGTGAGGAAGATCGGCCCTAACATCTGTTACCAATCCTCTTCTTTTTTTGCTTGAGGAAGACTGGCCCTGAGCTAAGATCTGTGCCAGTCTTCCTCTATTTTGTACGTGGGTCACCACCACAACATGGCTTGATGAGTGGTGTAGGTCCATGCCTGGGATCAGAACCCGCAAACCCTGGGGCAATGAAGTGGAGTGTGCCAAATTTAACCACTATACCACTGGGCTGACCCTGGCACAATCTCATTTTAAAGGATTCAAATAATATACATACTAGCAGGATGGGAATATATGATCCCCATCCTTCTGGTGTTTCCAATCTCCTCAAAGTGGTAACCACTGTCAACAGTTTGGTAAATATGCTTTGAGTCTCCGTACTATGCATTTATACAAATAGGTACTCTCAATCTCCCTTTCTCAAAAAAATTTAAATGTCAGAAAGACTCAGGATTACACTTATGACCAATTGATTTTGAACGAAAGTGCCAGTGCAATTCAATGAGGAAAAGATAGTTTTTTCCAACAAACAGGACTGGGAAAAGTGGATATCTGCAAGAAAAAATATGAATTTGGGCTCTTTCCTACACCATACACAAAAATGAACTCCAGAGCCAGCCCTGATAACCTAGTGGTCAAAGTTCAGTATGCTCTGCTTCGGCAGCACAAGTTCAGTTCCCGGGTGTGGAACCACACGACTTGTCTAGCAGTAGCCATGCTGTGGTGGCAACTCACACAGAAGAACTAGTAGGACTTACAACTAGAATACACAATTATGTACCAGGGCTTTGGGGAGGAAAAAAAAGAGAGGAAGACTGGCAACAGATTTGCTCAGGGCAAATCTTTCCTAGCAAAAAATAATTAATCACAACTTAATTTTTTTAAAAAATGAACTCCAAATGTTCACAGACCTAAGTGAAAGAGATAAAGCTTTTAGAAGTAAACATAAGATAAAATCTTTGTGACCTATGGTTAGGCAAAAAGAGTTCTTAGAAATAATGCCAAAATCACAACATTAAAATTGATAAACTGAACTTCATCAAAATTAAAAACAGCTGCATTTCAAAAGATACCATTAAGAAAATTAAAGAACAAGCCACAAACTGGGAGGAAATATTTGCAAATATTTCTGATAAAGGACTTGTATCCGGAATATACAAAGAACACTTACAACTCAATAATAAAAAGACAAACCCAATTAAAAATGGGCAAAAAGATTTGAATAGATATTTCACCGAAGATGACATACGAATGTCTAATAATAAGCACATGAAAAGATGCTGATCATCATTACTCATTAGGGAAATGCAAATCAAATCTACAATATGACAGTTCACACCCCACAGGATGGCCGATACTAAAAGAGACAGGAGCAAGCACTGGTGAGGACGCGGAGCAACAGGAGCTCTCACACACTGCTGGCGGGCACGTGAAAGGGTGTAATCAATTTGGAAAGCAGTTTGGCAGTTTCTTAAATAGTTAAACAGAAATTTACCGCATGATCCAGCCATATCTACCCAAGCGAAAGAAAACATGCCCACATGAAGATTTGTAAGTGAATATTCATAGATTATTCGTAATCGTCAAATAGTGGAAATAACCTATATGTCCATCAACTGGACAATACAGACTGATGTCTCCATGAACCGCTACTCAGCCATGAAAGGAACAAAGTACAGGCATGTGCTGCAACACGGAGGAACCCCAGAGACACCACGCCGAGGGAAAGAAGCCACATACAAAAGACCACATATTGGGTGATTCTACTTAGAATGAAACGTTCAGAAAAAGCAAATCTACAGAGACAGTAAGGAGACTCGTGGTTGCTTGGGACTGGGAGTGGCAATGGGAACTGACTGAAAACAGGCAAGAGGCATCTTTCTGTGGTGATGAAAACGTTCTAAGTTTGGATTGCAGCGACGGTTGCACAACTCTGTAAATTTACTAAACATGATTGACTTTTACACTTAGAATGGGCAAATTTTATCATATGTAGATTGTTTATCCTCAGTATAGCTCTTTAAAATAAATAAAAGCCCCAGGAGCCAAGCTCCCACTGGCCAAAACTGGGAAATGAGCATCACTAAAGATAATGACTGTAAACGATGCCAACACAAATACTTTTAAATCCATAAAATAATTATGATACTAAGAAAGACAAAATTAATTGGTCACCACTGAAGGATGCTAGTGAACCAACTCATTATTATGTCAACTGATCATAAAGTAATGCTGACATTATTCTGACTCCATAAACACTATTCACTTCTGCGCCATATAATTACCAGAATATTGTGTTTCTTCACATTTTTCTCTAGATTTCATCATTGCTTTGCTTTTTGTTTGCTTAGTTTTTTAATGTATCTATCATCAATTTGCCTCTAAACTCTGCACAGTGTGTATAAATCCCCTCTTAATACAACTAGAAAAGCGAACCAGTTGGGTATTCTATTCCGTTCAGCCTCAGAGACAGCATCTTGCTGAGCCCCAGCCTCCTGCTCCAGTCTGAATGGCTGCTTCCTAAGCCCGCTGCCCACCCTCTTTACTCACCTCAGCCAAAATTCCCTTAGACTTTTTGGGGATCTGTCCCAGCTCCTTCCCCTTTCTTGGCTTACTCCCTCATTTTTGTGAGGGCCGTTCTCAGTTTCCTGAGAAAGGGTGCATGGGAGGTAAAATTTCAGACTGTGTGTGTCTGAAACATGCCTTTCCACCCTCAAGCGTGATTGGCTGGGTATACAATGCCAGGCTGAGTGTTATTTTCCCTGAGAAGTTTGAGGGCCTTGTTCTCCCAGCTTTCGATGTCGATGTTGAGAAATCTAGGGCTATTCTGATTTTTGACCCTTTGGATGAAACTTGTTTTTGCTCTCTGGAAGTTTCTAGATGTTTCTCCTCATCCCAAGAGTTGTACAATATATTTCATTGTGCATTGGTGTGTGTCTACACTGACATACAGTGCTAGGCACTCAATGGGCTCCTTCAATCTGGAATTCAGGTCCTCCAGTTCCAGGAAAATGTGAAACTATTTCATTGATCGTTTCCTCTCCACTATTTTTCTGTTCTCTTTTTCTGGAATCCCTTTTATTTGGATATTATACTTCCTAGACTGGTCCCCTTAATATTCTTATCTAATCTCTCCTCTTTTATCTCTCTCTTTTTGCTCTAATTTATGGGAGATCTCAGCTTCATATTCCATCTTTCTAGTGAATCTTACATTTCTGCTCTTATAGTTTTTAACTTCAAAGAGCTCTTGTTGTCGTTCTCTGAATGTTCTTTTTTGCATAGCTGTTCTTATTTGGCAGAAAAAATGCCTGGTCTCTTTGAGCATATTAACACTTGCTTTTAAAGTTCTTTCTCCTGGATCAGCCCATGGCCTCATCCAGACAGCTTCCTTCCTGTGCTGCTGCGGCCCCTTCTTCCAGGTTTTGGGCTGTCTGCAAATGTCTCATGGTTCTTGGCCACTGGTTCTTGAATTAGTATTTTATATGCTTATTTCTAAAATAAGCTCAAAAAGCTAGAAAGTGTCATCTCCCAACCTTCACTGGTCTTCCTAGTAATGGCCTCTATCAGCACTTTCTACACCAGATTGGAATGAGGGCTATATCTGACTCTGATAAAACTATAAACTCCTCTGGGGTAGAAAATGTGCCTATTTGTCAGCTTCTCATACAACGCCTGACACACAGCAGGGACAATAACTGCTAGATGGACCCAGCTACTGAAGACTCGTCCTCATTTTCGCACACATGGAATCATCACAGACTAGGCAACAGCTGAATAGAATCTCAATTTCCAACCCAGATAGAAATTACCCTGACAGTATGCAGGAGGAGGGGACAGCAGCCATAAAATTTAGACAGTGCTTTACAGTTTGTAAAGGGGCTAATATCTCATTTAATACTACAGATACCTAAGCAGCCTCTACTACTCCCATTTTACTACTGTTGCCTCACTTCCAAAAACATGCTACTCGAAAGTTAATCCATTCCAAATCCTGACCACAAACCTGAAAGCTGGCCATGTCCCAGAATCCATCCAGGTCTGCACAGGTGGTGTCCTTTTTGCCTCGTTTGTATTCCAAATTGTCCACCAGTTCTTCAAACCGTTTGAATATTTCTGCCTTAAGGAGTCTTTTTTGACCAACTGCGAGGGGAATAAGATCTTCTGCTAAGGGAAAGATGAGATTTTTAAAAGCTAGAGAACAAAACAGGACCCTGATTGCAAGTCAGCCAGCTGATAAGACGACCTCACGCCAAATATCCTGGGGCTTCCACAATCAAACTCTTACCTTAAAGCAAAACAAAAAAACATCGACTACAAAACTTTGTCATACAAATACTGAGCATTAACTGTCTGCTGCTGTTCCCACTAAAACGTAGCAATATTCATTCTCATATATGTTGCTACACAGTAAACAGCATTCCGCTCACCTTGTATTTTACAAGAATTCAACCTCAAACAACTCACTGTACATCAGCATCTAAGGACTTCACATAGCACACAAATGGTTTTTTCTAAAAAGCTTCTCCAAATAAGATTAAGGAAATATCAGAAAATTTGTTCTATATTTATTTAGGTCATTTTCATTCAGAAAATATTTTGCATAATTAAACAATACTAGATATAGATATCACTCAAAAAGTCATAAAAAATCTAATAATAAAATAGGCAAACGTTTAACTCCCAGGAATGATGGCTAACATTCTAATTACTTACACCTTATAAGTCATCTACCATTTTAGCACAGAGATACTAGTGAACGTATGTTGAGAAATGAAAAGTCTTGCTGTTTTGATTAACAAAACTATAAAGTTAGGCAACACTAGATTTTTGTTTCAGATAAATGTAGACATATTAAAATAAACAATGCAGAGCCAGCCTGGTGGCCAAGTGGTTGGGTCCATGCACTCACCTTCAGCGGCCCAGGGTTCCCTGGTTCAGATCCTGGGCCCGGACCTACACACAGCTCATCAGGCCATGCTGTGCTGGCATCCCACGTAGAAGAACTAGAATGACCTGCAACTAGGATATACAGCTATATGTCAGGGCTCTGGGGAGAGGGAAAAAAAAAAAGAGGAAGATTGACAACAGATGTTAGCTCAGGGCCAATCTTCCTAAAAAGAATAAATACATAAAATAAAATAAAGCTAAGACAAAAAACATAAATGTTCCCTCCCCTTTGTTTGGAATCTATGCTTTAAGCTTCCTTTCCCACTCAAGGCAGTCGGTCAATATTAATTCCTCTCTTTCATATTGGAGAATCTTTCTAAAATTATGACGTATGTTTCAGTTTTACAAATGTTTCTCATACTAATATCTAAGTATTAGCAATATGACACTTATACAATAGCAATTTTCCAGAGCTGATGCTTATTTTATGAACTGTGATATATTAAAATCCATAAATACAAGTTGATATCCTATACATGTCCATCTTTCTACACCTAAAACTTACGTGGATGGTTAATGCCAAGAGCCGCTTTCCAAGGTAATATTTCTAGTTCTTTCCGTTCTCATTTATCAGAGATGAAACAGAAAGAACCAGACATGCCTGAGTTCTGTCTTTAGTTCTGGTATTGCCCATGGAACTGAGACCAACCCAACTGCCCAGGGTAAGTTGAAGCTAAACCCTGTAAGACTGGAATTACAGTGTCAGGGCCTCACAGATTCTAATCAGTAGGCTTTGCTTGTCCAAGGGCAGTAGTTCTCAACACTGGTCAATTTTGCCCCCCAGGGGACATCTGGCAGTGTCTAGAGCACCTTTGTCACAAACCAGAGGAGTGCACTGGTCTGGGACGTTACACAACATCCTGCGATGCAGAGGACGGCCCCACAACAAGAATTATCCAATCTGAAATGTCAGTAGTGCGAGTTGAGAAACCCCGGCCCAAGATAAATTGAATCTGTTTCTTTATAAAAAGCATCTTAGCAGGAGAAACTGAGGATAGTTTTTTTTCTTAGAAGAAAAAATTAGCTGTTTATATCTAATGAGAACTTAATGAGAAAGGAGACTTGTCTTAGATCCGACATTATTTAGTTGGGTAAATTGCTTATTATCTCAATGTCTCAGTCCAACAACACAGTGGACTAGCTCATCTCTAAAATCCCTTACAATCATAAAACGTTACGTTCTACAAACAGCTGAAGTGGCTCTGAAATATACTCATTCATAATAGAACAAATGAGTATTAAAAGTATAGGAAGATAATATTTCTCCTCTATTTGATTGTCAAAGCCCAAAAAAGTGGTTAGTACTGCATTGGAAAAGGTGTGAGAATCTCCTTGCTACATTCACTCAAGAACATAGTATGTCATCATTTCCTGTGTGATGTGGAGCTTTGGGGCCTTTCTCCGGATGCAGTCCTCTGATCTGTGTCCAAGGCATTTAGGTGACATGGCATTTAAGTTCCCAAACAGGAACTCTAATTTTCAGTCTTCATAGTTGGAGAAACATAATCCTATCTTATGATTTAGTGGGCCAAGGAGCCTACCATCATCTCCCTCTATCCTTCTTTTGTAAAATAAACATTAACTTAGTTTCTTTGTTTGAAAAAAAAGGTATGATAAAATAGGAACTCCCATATTTTGCTGAGGGAATGTAAATTGAGGTCTTTATATATTTGCACAGGAGAGGATTGAAAAGCATCCAAGCTTGTTCTTTGCAGGCTTGACAGTAATACTACTAGACTGAACTCAATGGAAACAACCAGAAACAGGGGCCTACTAAGTAAATCGTGGTGTAGCCATACAATTGGATACCATGCGGCCATTAAAACACACACACACAACAGCATGAGAAAGTTCTTAAAGGACTAAAATGGAATATCTCCTACATTTAACATTAAATGAAAAGAGAATAGTATGCTACTGTTTACATTAAAAAAAGTTTATCTACATATGCATTATGTATCTCTGGAAGAATTCACAAGAAATGAATAACACTTGCCTCTGTGGAAGGTTCAAACTGTAGAGTTGGGAGCAGAGTTGGAAAAAAGGCTTCTCACTTGTACCTCTTTCTATTTTTAAGTTAGGAACCACATGAATATACTAGCCATTGAAAAAGATTTTTAATTTAAAAGATAAATAAAAATCACTCAATGTCAGTTTCCTCCTAATTCATCTACGTATTATATTAAGGTTAAAATAGTTTAATTTTGGTTTTAAAAGTCTAGACATTAATACAAAATGCTTACACTGGGAACAAACGCACAGACCTGAAATGCAGCACATGTCATTGCTGAGATGTCTGATCTTCATTTATTTCAAGTGATGGGACTTCTTTTATTGGAAAGCCATGTAAATTTTCAGTAGTAGTTTCATTTTTATTTAAGACACGATCTATAGATTAAAGAAAACATTACATATACATTTCAAAGCAGCAACTCCTATAATGACATCCCCCACAAGACAAATTTCTTAAATCCTTCAATTTTTTCAACATTGAAATTTAAAATTGTAAATAAATTTAAAATTTAAATAAAATTTTATTTCTGCCTCAAAGATTTCATTCATCAGATCTCCTTTTACAGTGTGTCTCAATGTTCTTCATCTCTTCAAATTTACATTTCAGTCCCACTCTCAGTCTGTAGTCCTCATTCCAGCTCTGTCTCCAGATAGCCCTCCCCATGCTTTTCCGTCTCTTCTGACCCCGAGATCACACCCTGAGCTACATGGTGAGACACATGGTGGAAAAGACTCTAAACGATCTCTGATAAACCATAACCCAGAGAAACAAGTAAAAAATTCATGAAAATACCATACCTGTGCTCCCAACTGTCAGAGAACTCAAAGGACGGCGTAATTCATCGGAATCTTGATGTACTGAAGTTTCACTTTTGTGTGCCACCATTTCTTTTGTTACTTCTGGAGCCTCATCACTAAGCAAGAGCAAAAATACACTTCATGAAACATGAACCCCATACATCTCATTGAAGGATTTCAAAATTATGTTGTTGTTTTAAAAACATGGGATAAAATAGAAATATGTTTCTGTTTTTTAAAACATGTCTAATCTGGAGGGAAAAACCGTAAACACCTCCAGCGGGAAGGCCCGTCTCTGCTCCCTGTGATGAGATCCACAGATGCAAAGACCTCTCAACTGGACATACACACTTAGGAGTCTCAGATGCCGCAGAGCAGTTCTCAGTCAATCTGCCGCCAGCCAGCCTTTGGAAAGCAACCTTGCCATTTCTTTTAAAGATTCAAACTGACTTTTTCTCCCCGCTTTACAAGTTAATCATTTTGTCTTTTGAGATAGCTTTTATAAAGTAATACTCAGTAAAAAAAACACAAACAAAAAAATCCAAACCATGTCTGAGCTGCAGTATAGCAATTTCTTCTTTCTAAAAATTTATTTCTAAGTGTTGCAATTAAGTCACTTCTTAAAAGCAAAAAAAAAAGCAAATTGAATCGTGAAAATAATGCACAGAAAATATCAAACCTGTCAAATACATTATTGTATCCTTCTGAAAAATTTTTTGGAAAGGTCAAATTTTCATGATTTATAATGAACATAGTTTACTAACTAAATAACTTAAAAAGCACAGGCCAAATCTAAGAAAGGCATTCATTCTCCATGTCAGCAAGGAATTCATTAATAACATCTCATTCTTACACTTCTGTTTTTAAAGTGATGCAGCTGTAATTGGCTGTCAAAGTAGCGGTGCTTGTTGGAGTCTAGGTGTTACGTCATAGCTCTTCAGACCATCTGGTGGCCGAAACAGAAAATCTACTGGTGCGAAGGATGGCCTCCCTTTCACTTCTGCAGGATTTGTCTCACGTAACTTTTCCACTTTGGATAAGACTCCATCTGGATCCCTTCTGTTTGTGACACTGGTTTGTGATTCCAAAGTATTTACTTCGCTATCAACTTTAAAAGACATGACCTGGATGTGAATAAACAGAATAGAGTGAGAGTCTCTCTTCTTGGGAAATATTCCACCAATTTTTTAGGCCCGAAAATGTGAAAGTTAAGAGATATGTCCCATGTACGTAATTTAAGAAACAAAAAAATACAATTAAATGTTTACGTGGAGTCAGAAGACCAGCTACATAAACCATTGCTATGGTCCAGAAAGAGGGAGAACCAATCCATATTAAAAAAACAATATAATAGGTTTTAGGTATTACCAAAAATTAAAATATATGAAAACCAAGGTGGAAAAATTCACTCACCTAACAAATACGTATCTTTTTACTTAAATTATGTTGATAATTACAAAGGTTTGAGAATCAGAAATCCAATGTTTATTGGATTACCAGTATTGTCAAGGACAAAATCTTTTTTAATAACTTTGGATTATTATAAATAACTTTATCATATGAGCAAAACTATTTTTCAATGTGACACAGTAAGATTAACCATATAAAATGTGAAGCGTATTTCCTTTTTCAAGTCAACTTATTTGGTATTTTTTTTACTGTAATATAATTGGCATACAACATTACATTAGTTTCAGGTATACAACATAATGATTCAATATTTGTATATTGTGCAATGATCACCCCAGTTAGTCAACATCCATCACCATGCACAGTTACAAATTTTGTTTTCTTGTGATGAGAACTTTGAAGAGCAACTTTCAAATATACAATATTATTAACTGTAGTCACCATGCAGTACATTACATTCTCTACTTACTTATTTTATAACTGGAAGTTTGCACCTTTCGACCACCTTTGCCAATTTAATCCATCCATTTCAACATAATTTTTAGAGGTTTCTACGTTTCTGAGTTTTAATGAGATACGAATTGAAAGCAGAGTATTTCTACCCGGACGAGAGTTTAAGGGTAACACTGTGCTTGAGGCCTGTATGGCTGCAAAGGTAGACACTAGCGATAATCCTTAAGGAGAAAACCAACCTTGAGGGAGGAGCTGTGAGGCCCAGCTGCTCGCCTGTGAAGATCACCCTGTACTGCCTTCCTTGGAGGATCTATGTCTGATTTTTGGTAAGAACCTAGCCAGGTTTCTTACACTTTGGCATAACTTTGTTTTTTTTTTTTTTGAGGCTAAGGAATTATAGCATGGATTATAAATTAAGGGATTGGGTCCTCGAAATGGTGGCTCTTTTTGAAGACTCTACCAGGCACTATGCTAGATGCTGTCAGAAACGTCAGGTGATTTCATTCTTGAAACTACTCTGTGTAGATATTACATGTTACAGCTGGGAGAACAAACTCATAACTTCCCCAAGATTATATAGCCAATTGGAAGCGAGACAATAGGCAAACTCAGGCCTAGCTGAATCCAGAGTCAACGCATTTCACCCACTGCACCCATCTCCTAGCCGATGCTCACATGAAGGTTTCCGTCAGCTGTGTTTTTATTTTCTCTCTTATGTTAACCAAACTACACATTCTCTACCTATAAGGTTTTAAAGATGAGACACCTCACAAACCATAACAGTAAACCCTCTTGACGCTTCCTTGTGCTTCAAGAGGTTTTCACACATGTGGAGGTTAACCTCTTGAAGCAGTTCTGTAAGCTTAATTTCAGCTTCATGAAAATAAAAATGAGATTTTCCAAATGTCTAGAAATAAACAGATACTTATACTCTACCTTGCCTGGTTCTTCTTCGATCTTTTCGGCAGGGCTTCCTTGATCTGGTACTTTTCTTTCTGTTATATTATCTAAAATAAAAATGACGTAACAGATCCATTTTGACTAGATAGAAAATTCTGCATTAAAAGTGCTAGGTAAGGAGCTGGTCCAGTGGCATAGCAGCTGAGTTCATACACTCCACTTCGGTGGCCCGGGGTTTGCTGGTTCAGATCCTGGGCATGGACCTATGCACTGCTTATCAAGCCATGCTGTGGCAGGTGTCCCACATATAAACTAGAGGAAGATGGGCACAGATGTTAGCTCAAGGCCAATCTTCCTCGAAAAAAATTAAAAAGTACTAGGTAATTTGGGAAAGAAAAAAAGGCAACAATACGAATCTATGCCTTAATGGATTTTATGATTAAAAGTCATTTTAAAATATCCTATTTAAAATATCCTATTTAAATACAATAAATACAGATAAAACTTCCTGCCAAGTATAGGATATCTGTTTACAAAACCAAAGGTGCTAAAGTATTTTACCTTTTGCCTCTGACTATCAAATGCATATTTATTATAGAAAATCAGGAAAAGCAAAGCACAAAAACAATGCAAAAAAAATCACCCTAGAGGGGCTGGCCCCGCTGCGCAGCAGTTAAGTTCACGCTTCTGCTTTGGCAGCCCAGGCGCTCAGATCCTGGTGCGGACCCACCCACTGCCTGTCGAAACCATGCTGTGGCGGGTGTCCCACATATAAAGGAGAGGAAGATGGGCACGGATGTTAGCTCCGAGCCACTCTTCCTCAGCAAGAAAGAGGAGGATTAGTGGCAGATGTTAGCTCAGGGCTAATCTTCCTCAAAAAATAAATAAATAAAAATCACTCAAGATGACATTATTCAGAAATCATCACTGCTGACAATTCAGGGTATGCTTTTCCAGTTTTTTCCTATGTTCACGTATTCACATACATATTTTAGAATTGTGATCACACTGTTCAGAATTTGACCTGTTTTCTTTGCCCACTTAATATATCCTGAACCATGTCATGAAGTGTCTTTCACAGGATCGTTCTTAAACGCTACACTGTATTCCACCAAACAAATGGGCTGTAATTTACTGGGGCCATTAATCTTCACTTTGTGGCCCTGCCCACCGATGCACATACTCCACCACTTGAGCGCCCACTGTGTGCTAACTGGATGGTGGGGCACTGAACCTGTCTTCGGGACCTGGAATCTCCCGTTTCCTCCTCACCAACTCAAAGAAGTACACGATGACTTTAAAAACTGAACACGAAAAACCTCAGGGACCAGAGCATTCTACTTCAGCCACTGATGAAGGAACAGTTCTCACCTCGCGCTGCTCGCGTGGCCGGCGCAGCCAAGGCTGCTCCCGCGGAGGCTGCACTGGCGGCGCCTGCCCCCGAGGTCTGCTTCGCTCTTTGAGTCATCGACCGAGTGGTTCTCACGCACGTGGGCATTGCAGGCTGCCCTGCTGCGGGAACCATGAAATTAAATGCTTTCGGCAATTACTAAAGCATTGTTGCGGCAACGTCAGAGCTTATAATAATTGCTAACACCCCTACCTGTTTTCTCGTTGGACACTTTGTTTTCAGGAGTTTGTCTTTGACCAGATCGTGTTGCTCGAACATCACTCCTATTAATGATCTATTGAACAGATTAGGTGGTATGTGATTTAATTGCTTGATGAATCAAATTACCACATTTTCAATCGGTATTTTGACCCCTCATCTGAAATTTATTGTAAATGACCCAGCAAAAAATCCACCACCCCAAATAAGATGAGATGAAAAAAGTTTTCCATTATATAGATTTCCTTACAAACTTTTTGTAGAATCCTAGAATTTTGAAAATGCTAATTAAGCTATTCAAAATAGCTGACTATAATCTTCTGAGAGTCCTTAAACATACCAGCATGTTTTCGCTTCAAAACTTTTGAATTTTGTCTGGAAAAATCTTCTCCTGGATAGAAAACTCTTCCCACAGTGCACTCTCCAACTTCCTTGGAGACTTCATTCAAAGTGCCACCGTCTCAGTGAGGCCCCATCGGAAGCTCACCCTGTACCAGCTTCAATGCTCCCCATCTGTCTTCTTTTCTTTTTTATTTCCCGCATAATACTTATGACCATCACATACTATATATTTTTCTTTTCATTGCCTATCTCACATGTAAGCTCCATGAAAACAGGGAATGTTGCTTTATTCATTACTATATCCTAGAGCCTAGAGGAACATGGCAGTGACTCAATTTATTGAATACATGAAACGGAGCCTTCTCACCTGATAAAGAGACGTACTGTTTACCTCCTTGCTCACTTCATTTTAGTAATCGTCCTATTAACTTTGTCCATA